AAGGATTGTTTTAGTCCTAAGGGAGAACATATATCCTGAAGGATATTTTTATTCTTCTAAGGGATTATAAATACCGTAGGATTTAAATATCCTGTAGGATATTACAAATATCCTACGGGATTATGACCTTATCCTATAGGATTTCTCAAAATCCTGTAGGATTTTTGAAAATCCTATGGGAGAAAATTATATCCTATAGGATTTTGTCACTGTTTTCACTCCAGTTGCCGAACCCGGCGAGCCACACTCAAATTTTTTTTGTATTGTGTTACCTATCCCCAGGGGTACATTATAGCCAAATTTGATGGTTCTACCGTTTAAAAAAGTGTGGTTCCAATTTGCACTCACGAGAAGTGTAAATTAATCCAAGAACATGTTAGAAAGTCATTGTAACAATGATATCTGGTGTAAGCAAATGTGAAAATGTGCAAATATGATATTCAGTTCACTACCCAATTTTTTTTTTCAAATTTGAATGACATTTACAACATAATTTTCCTTTATTTGTAACTTAACGAACCATCCCTGATACATAAAGTGAGAGCAAAAATATATGACTTTCAGTATAAGCTTTATCTGGAACTTAATTGAAGATTTAAAATGAAGAAAATCATTGTATTACTGTATCTTCTGACAGGTGAGTTTGTTTCATAATAGCTTGGACATTAGATAAGAGTATTGACGACTTAGTACATTTTGATATAAAATAGACTAGATAAATTATAATAAGTGAATGTAAAAAAGAAGATGTGGTATGATTGCCAATGAGACAACTCTCCACAAGAGACCAAATGACACAGAAATTATCAACTATAGGGCACTGTACGGCCTTCAACAATGAGCAAAGCCCATACCGCACAGTCATCTATAAAAGGCCCCGAAATGACAATGTAAAACAATTCAAACATGAAAACCAACGGCCTAATTTATGTACAAAAAATGAACGAAAAACAAATATGTAACACATAAACAAGCGACAACCACTGAATTACAGGCTCCTGACTTGGGACAGGCACATGCATACAGAATGTGGCGGTGTTAAACATGTTAGCGGGATCCAAGCCCTCCCCTAACATGGGACAGTGGTGTAACAGTACAAGATAAGAACTAACTATAAAAATCAGTTGAAAGAGGCTTAACTCAACAGATGGATAAAAATAGAAATACTACAAATACAAGTGGACGTGGCCAGGTACTTGTACATCCAAACAACAAAAAGACACTAAGTACAGATCTGAGAGTACTCGCAGTTACTAACAGCTAGTCCAAAGCCACTAACAACTAATAAAAAAAAATATCATGCATCTAAGACTAAATTATCAATCCGTACACATCCAACATCCAATGGATTTAGTGTAAATGGTTTATTTTTTTAAGGAAAATCGTCTTAAAATTTGTGGTAAAAAATAAAGTCATATTTACAAATTTTGATAAATGTTTTGATAAATTCGACTAAAAATGTAGAAAATTTCCGATGGAACACCAGCAAATTAGTCAGAGCTTCTGTGCTGGCATGCAATATGTTGATGTTGTTATTTTCTGTAAATAACTGTAAAAGGTTATATATTCATACAAATTACTAACAGAAAAATAAAATGCCTGGTATTTTTGATGTGTTTAAAATATACAAATTTATGATAGTTTTAATCAGTAGTTTTTAATTTTGTGTTTTGTAGAATTTTGTTTTTCTTTTTTTTTTTTGTTGTTGTTCTTTGGCATGGGTTGTCGGTCTTTCTTCGACGTATGAATTTTGATTCTTTCTTCAGATTTTCTCTGCCTTTTATTTAAGGAAAAATTGTCTAATCCAATCTAATGGATTCATATTACTTCATTTTATTTTATTTTATTTTATAGCGTTTTAGTTAAGCCTAGATTAGCTAGTTCAGTTAAAAAGATATGTTATGATTTAAATTGAGACAAATATCCACCGTTATCCAAATGACGCGGGTGCAAGAAGCTATAGGTCACCGCTCGGCCTTCAATATGAGCAAAACTCATATGTATAGTATGTTTAATTTACTACAAATATTTGTATCCTTATAAATATTTTGAATTGCTTAAATTGATCGATTGCATTAGTAATGCAGAACAGCGATATATATATATTTATATTTTCACTAACAATTTCAATATTATATATAAAAAGGAAGATGTGGTATGAGTGCCAATGCGACAACTCTTCACAAGAGACCAAATGACACAAAAATTACCAACTATAGGTCACTGTACGGCCTTTTGGAAGACAAATATTCATATTTTACTGCATTTAAATGACTATTAATAATAAAAAAGTAATAATAATTAAATAACATGTACACACATCACTGTTCATTATAAATTCGGGTATATTCAGTCGATTTAAATAAAATTTTGTATTTGTCATTTCTGATAATTATACAGTAGTTGCTCTCATCACACCTTTCCAACTATTTATCAATTCAATCTTGTTTCCGAATTTCAAGCAAAAAAGTATAACAAAAATACTTAACTGTAAGAGAAATTCAAAAAGGGGAAGCCCGTACAAAATGACAAAATCAAACGCTGTTAATAAACAGAACAAGTTAAAAAAAAACACAGCTGCCATATTCCCGGCTTGGTACAGTAATAGCAATAATTAGAGTACATGTACTCACATTATTGTTTAATTCGTATAAAACTTTGTAATTTCTTATAATTATACAGTAATTGCTCTCATCTCACGTTTCCAACTTTCAAATAGTTGTTTTCTCGAATGTTGTTTCCGTCGATAGTTTACGTTAACTTTTTATAATTAACAATCTGGGAAAGCAGATTGGGATTTAGGCGCCTGAATTTATCAAAGTATTTGCTCGCCAAGTCAGTAATTGCAATTAAGCATGTTTCGTTCGTTGCTGTCTGCCTTATCTGTGTTTTGATTATTGTTTAAATCATAAATTAGGCAAATGTTTTTTTTCATTTCCAATTGTTTCACTTTGGTTATGCCAGCTCCATTAATAACTAACAAAACAGTTTGTTTTTAACTTGATGTCAATTTTGAAAAATGAGGAAAATCTTAAGAATATTACTGATTGTAAAGACGAAATGCTAAGCAACATGATACAGTATCATCTTAGCTTAACCTAAACGAAATTATATACTAACTTTCACCAGAGTAATTGTCAAGTAATATGTTTTAAAAATAATGAAAAAACACCACTTCAATTGGTCTCTGGCGGAGAGTTTTCTCATTAGCAATCATACCAGACCTTCTTATTTGTATATAGATTTGACTTTACTGCACACGAGTTACAGCTTACACGAAAATGGCGGCTCTTTCGTTAGGTTTCTTAAGAATCCATTATTTCACGATTAGAATTATCTTATTAGAATGTATATACATGAAGCCCACCTCCGGGTGCTGGATTTTCTCGCTGTGTTGAAGACCCGTTGGTCGCCTTCAGTTGTTATCTGCTCTTTGGTCGGGTTGTTGTCTCTTTGACACATTCCCCATTTCCATGCTCAATTTTAAAATGCAATTATTATTCTGCAATCGACAGGCTATTATACAAATAAATATTTGCATCATTTTTGTAGTGTACAATCAAATCCAATAAGTATACTTCCTGTGTTTTGAAGAGATATTAATACAAAAATAACTGTTCAATTTACAGTTCATTTTGTGGTCCCTTGTGCGATCCATATTAAAGCCAAATCGATTTGCTGTAAATTTATAAAATACAAAAAGGAAAAATTCGTAGAATAAAAACAATATTTGTATAATGAAGGAAAGTATGACAAAAATATTTTTACTCGCTACAAACAGGAGAAAATGTTGGCTAGCCTCACTTTTAGTACTAATTCGAAAACTCGTACAAATAAATACTATATTTAATATTACAGTTAAGAAATATTTCACATTACAGTAAAGATATATTTTATATTACAGTAAAGAAATATTGTATATTTATTGGGAAGAAATATTCTTCTTAAGTTTCAAATGGTTAGACATTGAAGGAAGTTATGCCCTACTAAATACTGTATAATTATCATTATTTAGACGAAATAAAAGATAAGGCCGAAGTAGGCTAACATTGTTATTAAAAATAATTTAAAAGGACATTATAGGATTAACACATCCTTGCTCTGAGTCTGAACAAAGTTAAAATGATATGAAACTATATAAGATGTATCATCAACATGATCAATTGTCTCTACTGTTACATCAACCCTTGACATTATATTCAGAGCGATATATATATAAAAAAAAAAGAAGATGTGGTATGATTGCCAATGAGACAACTCTCCACAAGAGACCAAATGACAGAGAAATTAACAAAACCCCTAACTGTAAAAATATAAGGGCATACACTACAGGCACGGGGACACATTCTACTGCATCCACACAGCATGAAAATTCTGTCAGAACAAATATTAACATTCCACTTGTACATAAAAAGCCAATACTGTAATACAAAATACTTTCCGCCAGTAAACGGGTGTAATCCTGTGCATATCTGAAACAGTAAAAGTAATAATTTACAAAGACAAATAAAAGAATACTATAACACGTTATTTTAATAGATGATAAACAACATCAGTACCTATAATCTATATTTCAAGACCGTCGTGTATAATTGTGAAGTTGATACGGAATATTTATCAACAAGGTCTTGGTATCTTCCGATGAACTTTTTTAGAAAAAGGACGATACTTTATTTGACATACCCCTGGTTCAACTTTCTGCTCAGAAACTGGTAAGCAATAATAGGCAACCGTACGTCCTTCAACAATGAGAAAAACCCACAAAAAGAATTATAATAGTCTTAGATGCATGATTTTGTATTAGTGGTGATTGACTTTGATCTAGCTTCAATAACTACATGATAGAATATGAACTTTGGCTAGTGTTGCTCAAACTTAAGTTTCTGTGTAGTATTATGTGGACTCTTTTAGTCTTTTCCTCTGTTTGCTTTTGTCCATGGTGTTGTCGTCTATCGTTCTTCACTTATGAGTTTTGATTATCCTTTGGTTATTCTGCTTTTCTATTTCTATGGTAATACTTTCAACGGTAGCATATAGAATGGACACTCACAATGCAGCAACTATATATCGGATTTTATTTCTAGATCAAATAGTTATATTTGAAGCTGAAATAACGTCTACATGGACCTCTTGGGGATCATGTAATAAAATTATTTCAAGTCCGGATCAAAACTGCAAAGGAATACAGACAAGAACAAATGACACAGAAGACACTGTAGCGGGAACTTACAGTTATGAAGAGACAAGAGTATGTTATCTTACAAACGGTAAGTTGTTAAAGAAAGAGGTATACGATACAAAAAGAACTATTAAAACACATAAGGTGGAGAGGGATCGTCAAAACGATGGAAACAAGTCATGAAAGAACAACCAGAAGTCTATAAAACACTACATAAAAAAACTAAAATCTGAACAACACAAATTACACCAAAACTCGCGATGATTCTATGTGCTCTGGTGAGGTAATTAGATCCTGATCCACAATTTGGAACTGCCGTGTTGTTACGAGAGGTACAAATTAACAAAATATTCTTCAAAACAGTGGATTCAAATTGTATTGAATCTGGGAACATATAAATACATTATTCAAAGTTTATATAAAACATGTCTCCCTTTTTACAGACTCGGGTAACTCAGTTGTTAGTTAGACTTCTAATGTATATATATTGTAACGATACGTACGTCAGCTATACTAATATTATTATTCTGAATATGATAGAATGAGGAAAGATGCTCTTTACAAATAATTATTTTGATTCATTAATTAGAAACAATTGATGGCGGTTACACATTATGGAGTGAGTGGGATGATTGCTCCCAAAAATGTAAAGGAACAACAACTAGAAGTCGAAAGTGTCATAACCCCACACCATGCAATGGCGGTGAAGATTGTATTAGGCATATTGGAACAGACATACTAAAAAAAAAATGCAGTAAGTATTTATAGAACACAGAACCGTAGTCGGATATTGAAAACTTTTATCCACAAGGCTATGAGGATATATCTGCTCAAACGAGACATAGATTTTTTAAGATTTTCTATATCCGGCAAAGGTTAATCCTGGAAATGTATAAACATTATTCTTTAAAAGAAATCTTGTTTTAATAACGGTGAGTTTAAGAGAGCTATGTTATAAATTATGGAGGTGCCGACGCAATACGATTACTAGTAGATAGTTTGCCACAACCTTTTTGTTTAATAAATGTAAACAAAAAGGTTGTGGTATATAAAAATGTGTATTACTGTAAAGAATTTAAAAGAGATACACAAGAAAAGAATAAGTAAGCAATAATTTTCATGACTGTAGAATATTTAGAAGATGTACACAATAAAAAAGACAAAGAAACTGTCAATAAGACACATGTAGCAGCGGATTTAACGTCCCCTTTAGATATTTCAAATAAAATGACATACGGATGTAACTCATCGAACGCACTTAAAAGAATTCGTAATTTTATTTATCACGTGAGTTCTCAAAATTACTGCTTACATTTTCATTTTCATCAGATCACATATACACATGTATTTTCTTTCAACTTTCATACGATTGATTTGTCTGATTTCAGTTATCTTTCATGGTTTTTATTATGAAAATTTGATTCATCAATATACTTTGCAGATGACGTTCCATTATTCTGCATTTTACACGCTTTTTTCATTTAGTTGTCAGATATCTTTTTTTAACAAACAATAATACATAGGCAAAATTTAGGGTAATTTGCTAATTTGCATATCGGCTATGTTGCCTAACCATGACATCAGCCATTTAAATAGGATTATACAGTCCCCTAAAAATAAAAATGCAAATCTGCCAATTCCGAATTGAATCAACAAATTGCCTGCATATAGGTGTATTGTACATATTTAACTTCTGTCCGTGTACAAACAAACATTGTCTACTATGAAATTTTTCGGCCTTTTTTGTTGTTTGAAAATCGGAAGCGTAACCGTAGTATAATTGTTATATAAAATATCGTAAAAAAGTCAAGATTTAAAATAGAAATAAAGGTACAAGAAAAAAGTAAAATCACAAATATACCGAACTCCGAGGAAAATTCAAAACGGAAAGTCCCTAATTAAATGGCAAAAGGGAAGCTCAAACACATCAAGCAAATGGATAACTGTCATATTCCTGACTTGGTACAGACATTTTCTTATGTAGAAAATGGTGGATAAAACCTGGTTTTATAGCTAACTAAACTTCTCACTTGTATGACAGTCGCATAAAATTCCATAATATTGACAACGATGTGTGAACAAAACAAACAGACATAATAGGTAAAAATGTCAAAATAGGGGTACAACAGTCAACATTGTGTTATAATCTTAATCACCATAAAAACAAACAAATATGTAACAAAGAAACACAAAAAGGCATATAGACAATTCACATAAGGAAAAACGAAAAACAAGAATACAAAAATTTACCATAGCACAATAACACAATGACGGGACCCAAACAAAAAAAATTGAGGAACAAATCATGGTAACAAATGATAACCAAATCGTATGATTTCTTTATGATTTGAAAGTGATAAAATTTCACAATGCAAATGAGCTAACAAATCACAACAACAAATCACGAACAAATTGCTTCCAATTCATAAGCAAATCACAAACAAATTGTCAAGAAATTGTTTTGAAATCATTAACTAATCAGAGATCATTGCTTTCCTACTTCAAGCAAGTCACAAGCAAATTGTTTTCAAATTGTAAAGAAATTGTGAAGAAATTGTTATCAAATCTTTAACAAATCAGAAGTAAATCATATTCCTACCTCAAGGAAATCACAAAAAAATTGTTTTATCAGATCTTTAACAAATCACAAGTAAATCATATATTTCGACCTCAAGCAAATCACAAGCAAATCGTCAATAAATTTGCAACAATCATCAATTCACAGATTAAATCATTTACATCCAGATCAAAAATATTTTCTGCCCCTGACTACCCCCAAATTTTGAGGTGCATTTGTCTTCATTTTACCTTAGCTACTCCTCTAATTGTAAAAAGGAACACTATCTTTGGTTGCGATGAGGGTCGAATCGTTCCCTCTGTTTAGGTTTCTCTTACTTCTCTTCCGAATTTGACTCTAACAAGATTTGACAAAACTTGGGCAACCACGTATACTAAAAGGATGCATGTCGAATATATATAGGTGATGAGTCTTAGTCTTGGTCCAAATTTGCTAATGTAGCTTTGCCCCTACTGCTCGGGTTCTAGCCAGTAAACATGAAAAATTAAAACATGGAACTTGCCAGTGAATTTTGTCTGCTGGCTCGGGAATCTAGTCTTTAACTGCATGTCTCGATCTGTTTACACATCTTTTACACATTTTTAGTTTGAAAATTAATCCTGGCAGTTCAAAATTAAATCGAGATACTTAAATGCACAGTTTCTGAATTTAAAAATTTCACACCTTTTGCATGTTAAATAGTATTAATTGAATGTGTGAAATTATAAATAAATAACTGAGATTCCTTACCACTCTCATCATTGATAGTACAACTCCTCATCTTGCAACCTTCTTTGTTCAGTTAATATAGAACAGTATTTGAAATTTGAATTTGATCTCAACCGGAAGTCAGAGAGATAGATAAACAAAGAAAATTCGAATGCATTAACATTTTATTCATTGTAGCAAATCATCAATGAATCACATCATGATAGCTAACAAAGTTAACAAATCATTTTCAAATCATTTCATATGATATTCTAAGTAAACAAATCATAACGAAATTACATCATTTTAGCTAACAAAGTTAACAAATCTCTTTCAAATCACTTCATACAATATTCTAAGTAAACAAATCATAAAGAAATCACGCAAAAACAGAAACAAATTGCTTACAAATCATACAATTGAAAGAAATCACAAAGAAATCAGTTTTAGGGAATTTGGCAAATTCTGATTTGTTTATAATTTGTTTAATGAATCACAAGCAAATGGTACTAACAAATCGCAGAATCACGATTTGAAAGAGATTTGAATACGATTTGAAAGCAATTTGTTCATTTATTTTTCTGTTTGGGGATGTATAAGTACCGAGCCACGTCAAATGAGTATCACCAAAAATAGACTAAACAGTAAAAGTAATATTCAAGTAGACAAATAAAAGAATACTGTAACAGTTATTAAGATGATAAAAAACGCCAGTACCAAGAATCTATATTTCAAGACCATCGTGTATTTATTGTGAAGTTGATACGGATTATTTATCAACAAGGTCTTGGTACCTTCCGATGAACTTTTTTCGAAAAAAGACTAGACGTTCTTTGAAATACCCCTGGTTCATCAACTTTCTGTTCAGACACTGGTGACGTTTTACAAAGTCTGAGTAGAAGCTGCAAGCTCTTGAATACGGAACAAGTTGGGGAATGTATATCCCATATGCAGGTGAAGTTGGTATATTGCTACTAAGATGGGGGAAGTTGATAATTTCAAAATTAAAATCGTCTTGTTTGTCATAGTTTCTGGTACTGAAATGAGATTATTCATGATTTATCCGCATATAGGGAGACAACTTGCAAGTTTAATATTCAGGTTAAATAACTATTATCTTACCTGCTTTCTATAGTTTTCGACCAAATTATTTTAAAAACAAAACGATATTATCCGTCCTATTTCGAAAATAGTCAAATTTTAATTATTTTCCCTTAGAATTACACAACATATTTGTTAATATCCGCCAAAGGAAGTTTTCAAAGACACATTTATTTGTAGATATAAGACGGAAAAGGACTGGATTATCCGCAAATTTGATATAATTGATGTTTTCAATCTACAACTAAGGGAAGTAATTTAATCAAAAGGGCAGAAGTCAAGTGGTGCAAATCATATGAATAAAGTACCTAGGAATATGCCATATGATTTATTTATCAAAGCTTGCTAATTACAAAGTTGTTTAAGAGTCCAAGTTTTTTTTGATATACCATGTTACACTCCACTGATATAAAGGGAAATAATCAGCTGATTCAACTTAAAAACTTATACAAATCTATAAGTGTCCTATAATAAGACTAATTGTTGTCAATATTCTTTTTAATTGACAATAACATTGGCCATACTGATTTATATCTATTTGTGTCTACTCTTATTAAATTCATCGTCGAAAATACTCTAGACATCAATGATTTGTGTTCTCTACTCGGATACATAATATGACTTGTAGTTAAAAATATAATATCAGATGTAATATAATATATTGTAATTTAATTTTTTTTTTAAATAATACTTTACTTCTTTTGAAGAGATCATAAGTTTCTTGACAAAATCATGTCAAATATGAATGATATAGAAAATAGTGTGCACAATTTTCTGCTTGATCACAAACATTATACTTCTCAGTCTTTGTTATTTTCTATTGCAATAAAAGCTTTTTCGTTGGAGCAATATATTGTGATAATTTTACATCTAAATATTTTTAATTTACTTTCATTCAGATATTCAAAAAATAAATTGGTAAATGAATCATGTGAATTGATATGTAGAGTTTCTTGTATTTCTAGGATTCTAAGTCATCTGTTTGTCCCTATAGATTGATCTATTTTCATACTTATTAAAGAGTTATATAACATTGTATTTGTTAATAATGAATTCTCAGTATAATTATATTTTCATATAATCTTATTTCTCTGAAAATAAACTGTACTTCTATTCGAATTTTCTTTTTGAACAACTTGGATTCCTGGGGGAGATTTTTTTTAATTTATCAAATTAAGCGATCCAGTTTATTTTGATCTTTAATTTGTTTAGAATGTAGATTTCCGATAATGAAATCAGTCCTCGAATATAATTGGTGTGTTCAACATATACTCCCACGACACTTACCAAGTTATTAAGGAGGACATCCTGTATAATTTAAGGTCTGTTCTATGTGTCTTTGGAATTTCAACCAAAGATGAATAACTGGATCTTCCTTCACTGTAAAAATACCTAAACTACACAAGTATCCTTACAAACAACGTTATATTGTTGTGTCTTCCAAGTGCTCCACAAAACCACTTTCTAAATTATTAACATCAATGTTATCAGCAATCAAAGCCGGGCTTCTAAGTTATTGTGAAACCACATATTCTAGAGGTGGTGTGAATCAAATATGGATACTAAACAATTTCAAAGAACTTTTAGAGTACATAAAATCTAAGACTCTTTCATCTTACAATTGTATTAAAAACATTTTACTTTTCTACAACTTTCATATGTATTCCCAATTCCAAATATCATATAATAGCGGATAATTTAGGTCTCTATAAAAGATAATTTCACAATCCTAAGGCATAACAAAATACATGAAACATCGGAACATGTAAATTTTCAAACAAAAAACATGATCCAATTTGAAAACACCGTTTTAAATAAAGTAAATTCGACATTCACCGCTAGAAAACAACATTCACATTGACAAAACTATAAAAGTAAAATATTTAACGCTTTTTATGTTTTTTCACTAGGACCTGTGGCAGGACAATGGGGAGAATTGGGAGCTTGGAGCTACTGTATAAAGTCGAATTCTGGCGTTTACGGAACTGGTACTTATCTACGTTCACGTAAATGTGATAATCCAGTTAATATTTGTGGAGGCGAATATTGCATAGGAGTAAATCAGACTGAAGGAAATTGCAGAGGTAAGGAATAATAGTACTAATAGACATTTAACTCAAAATGGGGCTTCTTTGTCAATTAATATTGCTTGATCACAATAGGTGCCTTAAACATATTTACAAAAAAGAAGACAAGTGTTAGATTTGTATACTTTTATAACAAATACCTACTTAAAGTGTAATAAAAAATATTTTCAAAGGAGAGAGTGGTTAAGAATATAATTTATTAATGGATAGAATGTGATGAAAATTTGAGACAACAGTCGTTTACTGATGTTCAAATCTGATAGATTCATTCAGAAGAAACAAACCCAGAAAAAAACAAAGCAAAACACAGAAAAACTCTATGAATCGAGACCGAGTGATTAAAGAGGGTGTGTATCTCTTGTTTTGAATGTCCCACCCATAAACTATCATTCAAACATTGATCTGTTGATATGGACATTTCATTTATATAGAAAAATGTTGATTTCGCAAATAAATCCTATTTTGTCTAAAAATAATAAGGACTTAAAATTCTCATGGAGGGAACAAAGATTTAGCAATATTGATCATTCTGATAAAAAAAACGAGTTATTTCAATAACGCCTTTTTACCTACTGGACAAATAATACTCTCTCTCTCTCTCTCTCTCTCTCTCTCTCTCTCTCTCTCTCTCTTTGTCAGTTGTTTGAACTTTTCTAATTTTCCATTGAGTTCGATACTTTAGTTTACGTTTTTGTCATATTTCTATACTCCATTCAATTTTTTTTTCGATACCTTTTGATATTAGACTTTGGTGTATTTTGCAGTTGTGCCTCCATGTCTTACATACCAAATGTTTAGCGACAAATTTCTAAAAATAGAAAATGCTATGTCAATTTATACCTCAGCACAGGTAGATATATACCTTCTGACGAAAAACAATTGTACAACAGCAACAATAATTCATACTTATTTTGCATTATACAAGATAATAAACATAACTACTAATAAAGAAGTGCAGGATGGGGAAAATGAATACAGTGTAATGTTCAAGTTTAATCCAGGGCAACATGAAATAGGATATTATCGTTTGTATGCAAAAATAGGATATCCTGCAAGCATGGCAGACTGGATGGAAGAATCAATGTTTGTGAAAATAGAACAACCACCGCCACATGCATTTATAAAAGGTGGAGCCGGAAGGAATATTGGTCAAGGACCCGCAGAATTTGACGCTCGTTCTGTGTCGTATAGTTTAACTAAAGGCCCCGGTGATCCTTCTGGTCTTATTTTTTCTTGGAAATGTCTTAGTTTTGTAACAAATAATATCTATAACTTACTGCAATTTAATATTGCACCAGTATTAGCTTATAAGGATAAAGGTGACTATAAAAAGAAATGGTACGACACTAACTTTCTTTCATATATAGAAAACAAAGTTCCGTTCATCAATTCGTATGAACTTTACACCGTTGTAAATAGCCTACAAATTTCTAATTCCACATGCATGAAAGGAAGTGAGTTTTACGTCATGACTGTACTTGATAAATATCCCCCAACCAAAGAACAGAAAGACGAAACAACAGAAGCATACGATAATTTTTCATCGACATCCATATCCAATACATGGAACGGGAGCGATGTTACAACTTCAATAATGACAACACTAGAAACAACGGTAAATCAAGGAGAGAATATTGTTAGTACCTGGAGTAATAGGACAACAATTGAAGCAATGACAACAACAGAGGAGGCAACTACGCCAGCGCCTCTCTATGATCTGATAGCTCTGACGCGATTTTTTGAAATTGACTTTATGTATGAAATGGAGTCAAATCCTAAATCTGAATTGGAAGATTTAAAGTATATCCTATCTATTCCAGGAAATAACACACTTGTTTTAAACGAAATGTTAGGATTTCTAAATGATTTATATAATGTAAAATATGAAGCCTTTCTACGGGATACAGACGACTTTTTTGAAGGGATATCTGATATCTCATTGACTCTTGATAGTTTGTATAAATTACGTGAACATTCTGGGTTGCCTGCAAGCGCTAATGATACATTTTTTGATAATCTACTAGAATGGCTACAAAACGCAAATGTATCGAAACAATTTGCATACGATCTTCGAAATTTGTTGGATAGCTTTAAATATGTTCAACCTTACATCAAAAATGCAACAGAGTTGGTAGATGTAATAGGAATAGAAGGATACTTGAAACTAATTATTGATGACTCTGGACAATGTTTGATGAATTATCTAGTAGAAATTTTTAACGGATTTACTAAAATTAACTCATTTGATTGGGATAAAATGGCAAAGCAAGAAACATATTACTTGAACTGGCTAAAGGATGATCTGTTCCACTCTAGTGCTTGTAAATTGTTCAACGGAATCGATGATGGTACCGGAAGTCTGAGTGTTACCCCACAAGATGTCTCAGAGGGAAAGGGATTTTTAGTGTATATAAGAGTAGAATTTGAAGAGTCAGTTAGTTATTTTATACAACATGCGCAATCAGTTTCGGGAAATCCTCCAGTACTAGATATAGAGTAAGTACAGTTTTTAGTTCCAATTATAAACAATTGGTGCCAGAAAATATCGATCATATGATAACAGAAGACACACAGATCTTACGAATGTGCTTTTATCCCAGTAGATTTTAAAAAAAACCTAAAGCAATGTTGATTTTTTTTATGATTTCGGCTATTCTTTTAAGGTCCTTTTTGTCCACATGGCTCTCCGCGCATTTATGTATTTAAACAGCCTTTGCTTTGAAATATTTCGCCTTTGATGTTAATCTTAATAAGCGATTCGAACGCACCAAACTAAAGTTTATTTTCATTACTCATGAATTGAATTTTGTTTGAAAAAAGATGAATGCAGAAAATATATATCATAATTCTTATTCATATATTGATATATAATGCCAAAAAAAGGAATGTTGTATTTGTTGTTGTATTAGTACTCTAAATAGAGTACTTGTGTGCGAAGATGGTCTTTACTTATGTGTATGATAAATGTTTTAATAAGAATATAGCTACATATTCAGTGTTAAACTTGCCTTTGGATAATTTTCTGTCACATGTTCAAACTTGATATGAATTTATATGTTATCAAAGACACAATGTTCTCTTTCAAACTGCTCATGACGAATCTTTGTGAATTGATGTACAGTAGTTTTGTCTACAAGGGACTTATTAGTGACGCTTGAATTAACATAATAAATATATCGGTGCCAACATCCGAACTTTTTTATATTCCAAAACGAAAATGTTTATAGAAATAACTATTCTTCTTAAAACACATTTAGTTTTTAAAGGTTTTTTTTTATTAATTGCTTTCTGAAAAGAACATTATGCATATTTTGGTAGCTTTTTCGACATTCAGGTGCAAGTTTATAACAAAAACAAAAATAATGTCTCTTCAATGATGCTCGACGCCAAAATATTTGAAAATCCAAAACCTAATAAAGTCGCTTAACAGCTGATCAAATCAAACATGATCTAAATATTACCAAACCTGATCCGATGCATTGAGTTCTGACCTAATTTTACTCTCTCGGACTTCAGATGTACTCTTTTGTAGATGCAGACTGAATTGCATGACGAAGACTGCTTTGACTTCTATAATATCGTTAAAGGCCTCATGTCCTTTTTGTACGTTTGAACAACAAAAGGGATTTAAATTTTGGTGGAAAGTCAAAGATTTTGATATCTTCAGTAGAAAATCAACAACAAATGATTACTGGCAATCTTGGATGTTATCTGGTAATAATATAAGCAGAAAAAGTTATTTATACATTACATAGTTACTTCGTACAGGATGCCTCTTTGATTGAATCTGGAGGACAATCACTTCTTGGAAGAGGACACTTTGATGAAATCTGTCGGGCAGTCACTTCTTGTTAGATGATACTTGATTAAATCCATCGGAAAGTCACTTCTTGTTAGATAAAATTTTGAGAAAATCTGTCGGGTGGTCACTTCTCGTAAGTTGACACTTTAATAAAAGACGTTACATCTTGTTACATATACTTTGAATAAATTAGTCGGGCAGTCCCTTTTTGTAAAATAACATTTCGATTAAATCTGTCGGACAGTCAATTCTTGTTAAATGACACTTGATTACATCGATCAGCAGTCACTTCCTGTTAGATGACACGTAAATTAAATCCGTCGGACAGTCACTTACTGTTACGTAATAATTTTAATAAATCTGTCGGACAGTCACTTTTTGTAAGATGACACACTGATTATATCCGTCGGGTAGTGGCTTCTTGTTGAATGAACTTTGACAAAAATAATCCATAGAGCTGTCTCTTCTCGTAAGTTGACATTTTGATTAAAGCTGACGGACATTCACATCTTTTTAAATGACACTTTGAATAAATTTGTCGGACAGTCAATTCTCATTAGATGACACTTCGAATAAATCGGTCGGACAGTCCCTTCTTGTTAGATAACACTTTTGTCAAATCTGTCGGACAGTAAATTCTTGATAGATGACACTTTGATTTAATCTGTCGGCAGTCTCTTCTAGATAGATTGAATCCGTTGGACAATCATTTTGTGTTAGATAACAAGTTCATTAAATCTTTCGGGCAGTGACTTAATATAGTGTGCCCCTTATATATAGCTTTCCGCTTCAATAAAATCTGTCGGGCAGTCAATTCTTGTTAAATGTCTCTTTGATTTAATCTGTCGGGCATTCACTTCATGTAAAATAACACTTTGATTTAATCTGTCGGATAGTCAATTCTTGTTAGATGACACTTTGATAGAATCTGCCAGCAGTAACTTCTAGTTGGATGACACTTGATAAAATATGTCAGTAGTCACCTTTTGTCAAAAAAAGGTCGGATAGTGACTTTTTATAGGATTCAACTTTGATTAAATCTTTCAGGCAATCCTTTTTTGTTAGATGACACTTTTCATATGAGTTGGAGTTCCTTCAGACACTTGTCAAAAACAATAATTTCAAAGGAGCCGGATTACCTAATTTCACATTCATATATACATTGATGAAGTTCTTTCCATAAACAATCCACATT